TGTGCCTTTGATTTTTGCCTTTGTACTCCAATACTTGGCAATGACTGGGTCTCTTTGCTGGGCTTGTCTGAGTTCACCCCTTGGGATCGGCTGAATCGAGCAAGCTAGTGAGTCACAATCCTCCTGTATTTCAATGGCATGGAGTGGTATCAATCTGGACCAGGCTGTTGATTCCTCATGCTGAATGGTGACTCCCTGCATTGTAGCACTAATCACCTCTGGGCTGACTTTTTCAGTGCACTGAGCTATGAATCCATCAATGTCCAGGGGCATTCTTGACAGTCCATCCGCATCTGCATTGGTCCTACCCGGGCGGTACTTGATTGTGAAATCAAAGCCGGCCAATTCGGCAACCCATCTTTGTCCAGTTGCATTGAGTTTGGCAGTGTTGAGGACATATGTGAGGGGATTATTGTCTGTGTATACCACAAACGAAGGGGCATGATACAGATAATCTCGGAAACGTTCACAAATTGCCCATTTCAGTGCCAGAAATTCCAGTTTTCCTGAGTGAAGGTGGTAATTTTTCTTTGGTGGAGTGAGAGTTCTGGACCCATAGGCTATGACTCTCATTATTCCATCTTGCCTCTGGTAAAGGATAGCTCCCAGGCCTTCTTGTGAGGCATCGCAATGTAAAACGAATGGTTGATCAAAGTTTGGGTATGCCAATATCGGTGGACTGGATAGGTGATCAACCAATTGAATAAAAACTCTTTGGTGGGAATCTGTCCATGTTATTAGTGTTCTACTCAGCAGTTGGCCTGATTTTGTTCCCTGTACTATTTTGTTCTTTTGAAATTGCCTAGGTGTTGTTAAAAGCAAGTCATACAGTGGCCTGGCAATACTTGAAAAAATGTGTATATACGACCTGTAGTAAGAAATGAATCCCAGCATCTTCCTGAGCTCTCCCACTGTTTTAGGCTTCCTCGCTTTAAGTGCTTGAACTGGGGCCATCTCTGCTGGGTCCATAGTATAGCCATCTTTCGATACGATTTTGCCTAAGTATCGCACCTTGCTCTGGAACAACTCACATTTCTTTGCTGTCAGTTTGACACCATGTTGTTGATACCGACGCAATACCATTTGTACATGCCGCACATGATCTTCAAAGGACTTGCTATGAACAAGGTTGTCATCCAGGTAAGGCTGACAGATTTCATACCGAAGGCCAGACAGGCAGTCCTCCATGCTCCTCTGGAATTCTGCTGGTGCTGAACTCAAACCAAAGGGAATACGCACCCACTCATATAATCCCCATGGTGTGATAAAAGCTGTGAGGGGGCGACTTTCTTCATCGAGGAAGCCTTGATGATAGGCTTTCCCTTGGTCTAAAATCGAAAACCAAGAACTCCCACTCAAACTGTCAAGCATGTCTTGGATCCTTGGGATGGGATGCCTGTCAGGAACCGACTTCCGGTTCAGCTCTCGGTAATCACAACATAGTCTCAGGTTTCCGTCTTTTTTCCTTACGCAGACTATGGGTGAAGAATATGATGATCTAGATTTTGTCACCCAGCCTCAATTGATCACGTCTTGCAGATACTGCTTAACTTCATTATGCAATGGTTTTGGGACTGAAATGTACGTCTTTTGCACTGGAATCTTATCCTTAAGGGTGATATGCATTTTCAATGAAGGTATGCTCCCAACATCATTGTCATCCCTTGCAAAAGAATGACATTCCTCTCGGAGCATTACCTTGGCTGCCATTTGCTGCTCCTTTGTTAGGTGGTCCAGGTTTACCAATGGGTCCCATTTTTCGCATTGCTCTTTAATTATTGGCCTCAGCTGCAGCCCCTTAGCTTTTGCTCCACCAGTTGTGTGGCCATCCTGTGTTTGTTGCCATCTCTGATCCTGACTTGGGGTGCCTTGGTGGTATGCCACAGGTCTTACTGCTGCTGGATACACAGATTTCACCGGCTGTAATTGTCCTAGGGTGACCCGCTGATCAAGTGTGATGCTGTGTTTGGTTGTGTTGATCACTGCGATTAGTATGCAGGATGAGTTGCCTCTACTCAGTGTCACCAGGACCTCGTTGATGTGTAAACCCTCTGGCCATTGGGGCTTCTCTTCAGGGACAAACAGCATCACTTCATTTCCCCCCAGCTGTCCCGAATGAGCACGACTTCGAACCATTGTGACTTGCCCTGGTGGTAGCACCACTCTCTGTTTTCCTGTCTTGACTGCCCCACCATCACTGTCCCGGTTGCCAGAAGACAACAGGTGGATGAGGACGTTTGTGTCTCCTGGAGTGATGGAGAAAGCCTCACCCACAACCCCTACTTTAATGGGGTCCACAATTGTCTCTCCTCCTTCCACCAGCCCATTGATGACCTCCTCGATGACATTAAAACCAATAATGGGATCTTCTGCAACCCTGGGGTCACTGGATACCAGCATTGGAATGAGAAAGCACTGACTGGTCCCCATATTACTGTTCAATCTGAATACCACCTCTATCCAACCTGTGAATGGTATTTCTGTTTGGTTAACTGCCATTCCAGTAATTGTACCCGTCCCCAAGAGCTCTTCAACTGGTCTCACTCTTGACTTAGGTAGATGCTTATTTCGCCATGCTTCATTTATAACACTGGCTTGAGCTCCTGTGTCCCAGAGGGCAGAAGTTGATACGTGATCCAGTAAACACTTCACCATGCATCTTTTCCCAATTAACTTTAACAGTCTGTTGTTGCATTTAGGCCTGAGAAAGCTAACCTTGCCCATATTTGGGTTCCTCCACTCTGGTGTTCTTTGACATTCTGTTTTCTTCTGTAATGTGTTGATTGCTCTGCAGAGTACCTTGTGTTCTTGCCAGTGTTGTTTTGGCAGGTATTCGAGCAGTACTGTACTGCGTGACAACCCTGGCACTTCTGCAGTCTTACAACATCATTCTCTTCACGGAAACAGTAATGACAACCTTGGGACCCTGATTTGTAAGTTACTGCTGGTCCCCCTGCAGCAACCCTAGCCAGTTTCCCTGCTGCTGTCGAGAGGCTCGACATCCACGGGCCATGTGAGCAATCCTGTGCCAATCGATCTCAGGAACTTCCTGCGTACCATATCTGGATTGTACTGGTCATCAGCTCCTTTTTCTTTAGATGCAAATAATAGTCTGTCCTTTAATTCGATAGCTCGGAACAGAAAGTTTTGTGCAGTTTCTCTTGGCTCCTGAGAGTTGTTCATCAACTTCTGATAGAGATCAGATGTGCTTTCTTCTCTATAGTGTCCTTTCAAAATGGTTTTTTAACTTGTAAATAGTCAAATCATTTTTTATTTCTAGCATGTCCCTCAAATTTAGACCAGGACTGATTGCTCTGACTACTGCCTCAATGATGTCAGACTCGGCATGTCCCTTACGGGTTCCTGTGTCGATCTGGTGCATCAGATTTGTGTAAGATAACTTGTCTTTCTGCCCTCTTTCACCAATCTGCCCGCAGATCCTGAATTCTCTCCGTATTGTGACTTCCGGCACATTTCCTAGTCTGGCCATTCGTATGGGATTCAATGCTGCTGTAGTTTTTGTTCCACCTTCACTTGAGATGTTCTTTTCCTCAAGGGTTTTTCTGGATTCTTCTTGTGACTCTTGTATTCCACCATTCATATCTTCAGAAAGTTTTGATGGTGGCAGTATTTGACGCGTTCCACTGCTGTCTTTGTCTTTCTTCTGTATTGTTTCAATGAAAGACAGCAGGTTTTGAATGTATGTGTAGTATTTTAAATTACAGCGGGAGACCACTTGACGGGTAGCACACTTTATTAACTCTTCTCTTGGGCACAATGACACGTGTGGACAACTACAGCTCTTCCTTAGCCACAATAACACATGTGGACACTACAGCTCTTCCTTAGCCACAATAACACGTGTGGACACTACAGCTCTTCCTTAGCCACAATAACACGTGTGGACACTACAGCTCTTCCTTAGCCACAATAACACGTGTGGACACTACAGCTCACGCTACACGTTCCACCCGGCTACACACACACGGGCTCTCCAGCCCCGTAGCTTCCAGGGGAACCTACAGACCCACCCCAGCTTGGGTATGGGTCACGACCACTGGGTCCCGTGGCCCGGCCCTCACACGGACGTCCAGCCCCGGGTCCCAAGGTCCCGCCTCTGAGCCACACAGGGTCCCGGCCCTTACAAGGACAGCAGGACTAGGGGTCTCAGGGCCCTACCTCTTCCTCCTCCGTCTTCTGTCTTCACTGATCACCAACTCCCCGAATGCCCGCGCGCACCGCTTTATATAGCCCTCCGCTCCCGAGGAGACGGAGTCTATGCGGACCGCGATGTGAGCACCCACCCTAGTCGACCAATCACGAAGCGCTGTTCATACGATCCGTTTTCCCAGCGCGTGTTACCACCACACAACCAATCGCCCCGCGCTGCCACACGATCACTCCCTGTCAGCGCGCGTCACCAACACACAGCCAATCACCACCACATAACCCATGACCCCGCGCTGCCCTATGATCCCTCACCGTCAGCGCGCGTCACCGACACACAGCCAATCACCACGCGCTGCCACACAATCCCTACTGTCAGCGCGTATCACCACTACATCACCCCCTCCCACATAGCTCGCAGCCGGCCCGGCTGCCAAAAACCAAAAAAAAAACTCCACTCACCAAGTGTGCCCTGTAACATTAACCACAATGTAACACAGCAACACAACACCTGAACGTTAACTAGTAACAAGAACGAACTATGTACAAACCGACGAGTAACCGAATAAAAGTTATTTCGAAAAGACCGACGAGTCCAGTGTCTCCTCGACTCCCGATCCCCCCACCCGCTTGCTCCTTAAACGGAACGATAGAGCGGTCGAACGGACGGGGAACGCCGTGACGAGATGATCCGGACAACTCGTCCTGCACCTCCACCTCATTTATTGGGTGAAGAAAAGTTGCGCGATCTAGCGCTAGTCCGCCTGGCTGGTCCGTCGTATGGGACAGGACGCTGTCAACCGTCCGGTGGCTCCGGCAGCCCAGGAAGGCACGGATCGGGCCTGGAAGAACCGTCCGTGCCGCGGGGATCCGGTCGCCGGTCGTCGGCAGCCGTCAGTTCCGAGACACCTGGGAGCGGATCAGGCGAAAACATGTGAGGAGCAGGCGGAGACATTTCCCTCCCCGGTCACATCACATGCTCGGTCCTCCCGACACAAAGAAAGGCCATATGGTAGCGAGAACGGTTTCAGCCGGGAGGGGTGAACGTACCAACGCCGCTTTCCCCATTTTATCTGCACACACTGGGGGCGTGCAACCCGCACGACCTCCACGGGTCCCCGCCATGGCTTCAATAATTTAGGCGACATAGCCAAAGGTGCATGAGGGCAATGCAGCCAGGCCCTATCGCCCGGTTTCCAATCGTGCACGGACACCCTCCGTGCACGCAAGCGCTCGTTGGCGATTTGGCGAGACCTCTAATTAAGCCGTGCGGCCTCCCGTGCCTCGGCCAGTTTCGCAATGTTAAATTTAATATGGTCGGCCAACTTGGAATTAGGCTGTGGCACGGAAAGTCCCAGCTGAGTCTCCATGGGCGGATCGGCCTCCCGACCGTACATCAGATAAAATGGGGAAAATCCCGTTGCTGCATGGGGGGCCATTCTGTACGCGGCGAGGACCCCCGGGACCTGCAAGTCCCAGTCAACCTGTGCCTCGCACACCTGCTGGCATAACATGGAAGTTAAAGTTCTGTGGAGTCGCTCCACCATCCCGTCAGTCTGTGGGTGGTACGGGGAGGTACACACCTTTTTTGTACCCAACAGGTTGCACACCTCTTGCAACAATTTGCTCGAAAAATTCTTTCCCTGGTCGGTCAGCAAGCGTTCGGGAGCCCCCTTGTCCAAGACGTAGCCTTGGACAAAGGCGTCTGCTACGGCCGCCGCCGACTGGTTGGCGAGTGGCCACGCCATAGGCCATCGGGTAAAGTATTCCACACCAACCAACAGGTACTTGTTACCCCTAGGCGTGACAGGAAAAGGCCCCAAAATATCCAGCGCAACGAGCTCGTTAGTGCGCGAGACCTGAATGGACTGCAGCGGTGGATTCGGCGCAACGGGCGGTGGTTTCCGTTTGGCGCAATCCACACACCCCTTCAGTATATTGACCACATCGCTCCCCATCCCCGGCCAATAATAGTCACGCTGGAGCAGAGCGAGCGTTTTGTTTACACCCAAATGGAAGAGGCGCTCGTGTGCGGCCAGAACGACTTTGTCCCGCATAGCGGAAGGCACGACGAGTGCGTGCCGCCGGGACATATTGTCCCATGTCATTAGCAGGCCCTGCTTGAGCAGCCAGGAGCCAGCTTGCTTTCAACCCTTCTTGGGACCCCCCGCCCTGCGACGCAACGCGAGCAGGGAGCTGTCAGCCATCTGGAGTCGGCCCCACTCAACGAGAGACAGTGAGAGCAGCGAATCCCCACCCGCAGGGGTAGCGGGAACGTCAACCATCGGCGCATTCGCGGCCGCGACCAACTCACTCTCAGGTACAGCACCTGGCGGTTTACAGCGCGCCGACCCCATCAAGCACGCACATTCGGGACGAGGTGACAACCGCGACAGGGCATCCGCGTTGGTGTGGCACAACCCCTTACGGTAAGTGGTCGTAAATTGATAGTCCTGGAGGACATCCAACAATCCGTGACAATTGGCCTGAGGGTTGGGCGACCCTCAATGAATACTGAAGCGCCGCGTGGTCCGTCCGGACCGTAAAATGACGGCCATAGAGATAAGGTCTAAATTGCTGTACAAAAAAAACAATAGCCAGCAACTCGCGACGGGTGACGCAGTAGCGCTGTTCCGCAGGCGACAAAACCCTGCTACCATAAGCGACCACCCATTCAACTCCCCCAACGACCTGTGAAAGCACCCCCCAATGCCTGTGTTACTAGCATCAGTATCCAGCAAGAAGGGACTCGTAAAGTCAGGGTAACGTAAGGGCGGGGCACCCACCAAGGCGTCCCGGAGGGAGCAGAACGCGGCCTCCTCCTCTGGCCCCCATCGAAACCTGACTCCTTTGGCTGTTAGAGCGTGCAAGGGTTTGGCAATGGTGGCGAAATGCTCAACGAATCGGCGGTAGTAGGAAGCAAAACCAATGAAGCTGTGGACCTCAGAAACCGACGTGGGCGTTGGCCATGAACTGACACAGTTCGTCTTCGCGGGATCGGTGGAGATCCCTGAAGAATCGACAATGTGGCCCAAGTACCTTACGGATTTCCGCAAAAGGTGGTATTTCGCCTGTTTAAACTTCAACTTAGCCGATCGCATCCGCAAGAACACCCCTCTCAATCGCTGGAGGTGTTCCTCAAAAGTTTTACTGAAAACAATTACATCGTCGAGGTAAATTAAGCAAGTATCCCATTGCAGACCCGACAAAACCAATTCCATGAGGCGCTGAAACATCGCAGGAGCGGAATGGAGCCCCATGGGCAAGTGGTTGAACTGGAACAGGCCCCCTGGGGTCCGGAATGCGGTCTTAGGTTTAGACTCATCGTCAGGTGGCAACTGCCAGAATCCCGACAGTAAGTCAAGCGTAGAAAAATACCACGCCCCGGACAATGCGTCCAGGGACTCATCCATCCTAGGGAGCGGATATGCGTCAGCCACAGAGATTTTATTAAGGCGACGGAAATCTACACAAAAACGCAAGGACCCGTCTTGCTTCTTAACCAGCACGATAGGTGCTCCCCACGGACTGGATGAGGGCGAAATGATGTCGGCCGTCAGCATGTCATTGACGGCCGATTGAACGTGTTCCTTCTCGGCAGGACTCAGCCGGAAGGGATTCTGCCGGACTGGTGCCGCGTCACCTGTTTCAATGTGGTGGCGTAACAGGTCCGTGCACCCAATATCAAATTTGTGCTTGCTGGACACATCGGAGAATTCGATCAGCAGAGCATGCAGCGCACCCAATTGCACCCTTGACAAATCAGTGGAGTCCGCACACAGCGAATCGACCCATCCAAGGTCATCACCCGGTAGAATTTTCTGCACCGGGACGGGATCAACATGTGCAATAAGGCGCTCTTCCGCAGGGACCCGTGCCGCATGAGCAAGCACGGTGCCCTGCGGAATAACGGCCGGCGGTGAACCAGCGTTTAAAACCATAACGAACGGGTCCTCGTCAGCCCGAACCAACGTTTGAGCTACCGCCAAATCCAGACCGCTGACAGCTCTATTCGATGGACCCAAAAGCACGCCTTGTCCCGCAGTCTCTCCACCCAATGGCTTCCGCAACCGGAGGGGTATCAACATCTGCGAACCCGGGGGCACGTGCACCTTCTGTGTCGCTAGCGCTTGGATCATTGTGCACGCCGTCCGTATTTCAGTAGGATTAGACAAAAATGAAATACGGCGACCCGATGGCAGCTCAATACAACGTTGATCCACGAGAATTTTGATGGGCATCTTAGCCAAAAAATCTGTGCCCAACAGACAAGGAACCGCTAGGGAAGAGGAGACGAAAACAGGTCCCGCCAATTTAATATCCCCTATGCAAATGGTCGCCCGAATCTGACCGATAATACCCAATGAGCCCCCATTTGCAGCGTAAAATGGCACGTCCACCGGAAGCAGAGGTCGACATTGGATGGGGAGAATAAATGAGGTTGGAAATTATAGTCGCCGACGCTCCCGTGTCCACCAACACCCTGACCTCGACCCCGTCTATGAATCCCATAACGACCGAGGAACCCGCCGACGCAGACACTATTCTGTGGCCCAACTCAGACCATTTAACGTCCATTCCAGGTGGAACCTTCTACAAGCAAATTGAGGGCACCCCAATGGGCTCCCCCCTATCTCCAGTTGTAGCCAACATCTTCATGGAGAAATTTGAGACGGACGCCATCCAGACTGCCACTCTACGCCCGACCTTATGGAAGAGGTACGTAGACGACACTTTTGTCATCTGGCCACATGGCCGGCCTGCTCTAGACCAATTTCTCGACCACATCAATTCCATACACCCAGCCATCAGATTCACCATGGAAGTCGAAAATGATGGCAAGCTACCCTTTTTGGATGTCCTAATCAAAAGGAGACCTGATGGTTCAATGAGCCACTCTGTCTACAGGAAAGCCACCCACACGGATGCTTATCTAAAACCGGATTCCCACCACCATCCATCCCAGAAGAATTCCCTCATCAAGACTCTATATCATAGAGCCCAATGCATCCTCGACCATGAACACATTTCCAGTGAACTCAAACACGTACGCCAAGCTCTTAAGGCTAATGGTTACTCCGACTACACAATCCGCAAAGCCATCACTCCAACCATCAAGAAGGATCCTGTTCAGGAGCCTTTCAAGACCATCACCTTACCCTACATTGCTGGGGTCACAAAAAAGATCTCCAAAATCCTGATTAAACACAAGATCCAGGTCCGATTCAACACAGTATGTAATGCGGTTGTAAACGGCCCTTCTGAGGTGCCGTCAGGGGGGGGAGGAGTTAGGTCACGTGGGGGGAGAGGGGTTGAGTATAGAAGGAGGGGAACCGGAAGAGCAGGGGGAGTGACGGGGAACCAGGAACAGAGGAAGGCCACGAAGGGCGAAGCGGGGTGTGGCGAGATCGCCACGAACACGGGGGGAGCGAGGATCGGCACCGTTGGCCAGCGGTGACCGACCCGAAGCAGCGAGGAGGCTGCAGTCAGCAGCGGGGCTGCACAGAGAGAGTGGGCAGCGGGTCTGCATACAGTGACAGCCAGAGGGTCTGCACATAGGGGTAGCAGCAAGTCTGCAGGGAGGAGGTTACAGTAGATGAAGCAGAGAGTCAGAGGGGTGAGGAAGCTATAATAGCAGTGAATAGCCGGGGGCTACAAATACAGGAGTTATAACAGAGTGCCGTGTGGGTAAAGACGTGAACCTGAATAAAGACACGAAGACAGAAAGAAGTGTTCGAGTCCTTTTATTACACTGGAGTCAGAAGTGAAACGGCATGGCGAAACAACTGAGGAAGAAGAATATCCCATCTCCGGCGTCGGCTTCATCATCGGACGACGACGATCTTCCTCCTGAGGTCGGCTTCACTTCGGCGGAGGGAGAGATCCGTGAGGGCCCGGGTGTGGAGGAG